TGAAGCAGTCTTTGCAGAGGGCATTTACAGGGCATGCGTGATGTCAGCGTGGTGGACGAATGGGAGGGTAAGAGAGGCGGCAGGGACCACAGTCAGGAAGCTGTCGTGTGAATCTGGGAAGTGGATGGAGAGCCTGGCCAGAGGGACGAGGAGGAGTCGGACTTGGGAGACACTTCTTCAGTCTCCGTGGCAGGACTCAGGGCCCGAGTGGCAGATTGTCGCTCTATTTTCCAGACTGGGTGGGCCATGCTGTCAGCCCCGGGAGAAACCAGCAAGGGGCACACAGTAAGGGAGGGAAACTCATGTCGGAAGAAGATTTTCCTCAAATTTGAAGTACATTTTGTTCTGAGCCTTCCCTCTGAGAATCTCCAATAAGAACCCTTCAAGGGACATCTCAGGGGTCTGGGCCCATCTGGTTGGGAAAGGAGCCATATTGCACAGTTAGCATACTTTCATGATTAGTAAAGTACAGTTCTAAGTTACTGTAAATTAGTAGAGCGGCTCTAATCCAGTCCCTCCGTGCCATGGAAGGGATGGGAGTAGCGTTGCTAAAACATTGCCTGCAGTTTGATGAGGATTAGGGTGTCAAAAATCAGCATTAACCACTATTTCAAGCTGAGTGCAAGAAGCCAGAACCAGTGTCGGCAATAACAAAGAACGTCCTTTCGACCCCAGCGAGCCAAAACAAGCTTTGTGAAACAAATCTAACAGAAAGCGTGATGGCAACATTTTCAGTCTGCATTTGGGCTGAAAGGGCAGAAGTAAAACATACTCAACCGTCTTCACTGGTAAAATGTCAGACAGACAGACAGACAGACACAGTGTTTATAGTTACAAAATCACAGCAGAAAGGTCACTCCTAAGTTAAACTGTCAGAATTCAAATAAGTTTCTGAAAACAAATAAAACTCATTTTCTGTGCTGGGTACGGCTTGCCACGATGGTGTAAGAAACCTCCATTTCTGGGAACAGCAACACATGCTTGGGTGAGGAACTAAAGCACCTGCCAAAATCATTCTGGGGAAAAAAGAAAAAACACACCCAGCTTGTTGGCCTCTGAAACAAGCAAACAGTTAGAAAACCATGACAGGGAGCGACGGATGTATACGCTGCAGAGCCCCAGTGTGATGAGTTAAAGGTGTCTGTCTGCATCGGCAAGTTCTGACGCAGGCCCAAGCCCACAGCCTGCCTCGCCTGCGTCAAAACCTGCTGGATGGAAAGCAGCCCCTCCGCCTAGTCTCCTGCTCCTCCTGGCTCCATTGGCTGGACCTCCACGCAGCACCTGCTGATCCTGTAGAGCAGAGGCTGGGTGACTTAGTCAGTTCGGGCTGCCGTAACAAAGCACCGTGGCCTGGGTGGCTTAAACAACAGGTAGTAACTTCTCACAGTTCTGCAGCCTAGAAGTCGAAGACCAGGTGTCAGCGTGGTTGGGTTCTCGCGAGAGTCCTCCCCCTGGCTTGCATGGCTGTGTCCCCGCTGTGTTCCCACACGGTGCACGGCACAAGAGCTCTGGTCTCTTCTTCTCAGAAGGGCACTAATCCCAACACGGGGGGCCTCCCTCATGAACTCATCTAAACCAAATCACTTCCCAAAGCCTCCACCTCCAAACACCACTGGGATAAGGCTTCAACATTGGGGTGGGAGGGGCACGAACATCTCATAACACCAGGGCACATTGCTCCTTCTTGAAGCCAATGGCTTCAAAAATGCCACTGCCCTCACACCAGCCACCAGGAGCTACACCAGGTCTTCACAGGGAGGTCACTTGATGGCCTGGCAGTGCTCGGGGAGTCTGTGAGGGCATTTCCTGGTGGTCACAGAACTTGAGTGAGGGGGACAGCAGAGCACTAACGGGGGACTGGGGGGTGCAGGCAGGAATGCCAGGTAGTCCTGCCCAACTAAAGGTCTCCCTGTACCTGCAGGCAGCTCTGAGGGTCTGCCAGACACTTATTTGGGCCAAAGACTTTTAGGGACTACCTGAGCCTACAACCTAAGTGCTTTACATAAAAACACTTTTCTGCATAATTTTATACCACAGAATCTTCTCGGAATGTGACTACTGTCTCAGTCAGGTAAGGCTGTGCCTTTGTTGGGAACGTTATCAGGACTTGCTCCCCATCCTGGAAGTCCTGCCGGCAGAGGTGTCTGGTGTCCCAGCCTGCCTTTCTGCCCGTCTGCGTTACCAGGCCCCGTGCTTGCCCGTAGGGGCGGTGTCAGTGAAGACCAGTATGAGTCTGAACACTTACAAGTTAAATTGCATAGTTGTGACTAAAAACCACTTGTCTATCATTTCAGAACAGCAATTGAGCCATATATTTATTTCTTTTAAAAACTGTAGATGTATGTAGGTTAGCAACTAAATCTCATTTCAGGACAGTGATGGGGGCATTTTTACCTTAAACATTATGTAAAAGCGGCATTGTGTCCCTGCGGGACTGGCCCTCTGCCATGGCCAGCACACGCCCACCTGTGCCCCTGCACGGCCTTTGGCCTAAAGACTTCCTTCCTCCCTGGATTCTTACCCAAGTGACGCCTTCTCAGTGGGGCTGCCCCTGTTTAAATCTGCAGCCCCGTCTTACCCCCCACCCTGGCAACCTGGCACCCCCACTCCACTTCCCTGCTTTATCTTTCTTGATAACTCTCAACATCAGTACGTCATTTATTCCCTTATCTGTCTCCCCCTTAGAATAAAAGTTCTATGAAGGAAAGGACTGGTCTGTTTCCTTCACTTGTATCCTCAGGGCCTGAGAACAGTATCTGGATTCTTTTTTTTTTTAAATAATTTTATTTAGTTACTTTTCGAGTACAGTTTTTTGTCTATTTCTCCCATCCCAGCCCCCCTATACTTTTATAATCTGTTTGGTATTGATGGTTTACAAATATCAAATGTGAAATCTCTAGTTAAGATTCCGAGATTAAAACTGACTGAAAGCTTGGGGGTTCCACGCATTTCCACCTGTGATCTTCGCACAGACACTTGTATATTGAGGTCACTGGTAGCCAGGGCTGCATTTCACTAAAATAAGCCAGTTTTTTCTCAGAAAAATCAATGAGATTTAGAATGTATTGAATATTACTTGCAATAATTAGAATTTAATCACATTTCTCTAATTCTTCCTTTAAGTGTCTTTCAACTCCTCCCTCCCCTGCCTAGACCTGCTGCCTGCTTTGCTCCTCACCAGGACTCCTCTCGACTGAAATCTGATCCCCCCACAAGGCTCGCCTCAGACACCCCACCTTCATGAAGCCTTTCCTGCCCCCCAACCCCGCCCCAGCAGTTCCTGGGACCTCTCCGATGCAGTGACAACACGTTCTGAGTTGAGGTTCTGTGTGCTTATCATTTCTCCCTTCAGACTGTGCGCTCCTTGAGGGCAGGGACTGTCTTTTTCTTCTTTGGGCCCACATAGTATCTTTCGCAGACTAGCTTCTGCAAACACGTGTTAAGTAAAAGAGGCAAATGCTTTAAAGCTCCAAGCTACTGGACAGAACATTTCTTATGTTCCATTGATTCTTATGTTTGGCCACGTAACAAACAAGGCAGGGCACAGTTTTGCCAGATGCAGCGGAGGCTACTTCTAGAAACTGGGACTTGGAGACAACCAAGTTACAATGACACACATGGGGGAAAGCAGAGCAGAAGCACGGAGCAGCCTGGGGCAGAGATGCCCTGCCCAGGAATGCCAAAACCGAGGGACCAGGCCTCATACAACGGTAAAAATGCTTATCGCAATCCTTTTGTACCTTGTTGATTTCCATCTTTGGGCAATATCAGAAACCACGAGATTTAAACAACTCTGTTTTTGTTTTAAAAAACACTAAAAGGCTTAAGCATGAAGGAGAGAGAGTTCAGATAACATTCTGTAATGCAGTGACAAACCCCAGCTCTACCCTCTTCTTGTGGCCACTGACTCCTGAGAGCTGGTTCTTTCTGCAGCTTAAAGTTCTTGCTGCTCCCGGCAGGGCCCAGACCGGGGAGGCGGGGCGGTCTCTGGGACCCCAGCTGCCACCATCCACTAGGTTTGCCGCTGAACTGACAGGATGACGTGTGGACGTCTGACGTAGGCCCATATTTTCCCATCTAAAGTACTATTTTGGAACATTTTATTAAGGAAGGAAAAACACTTGCTGTGCTCTTGAAAATAATGAGTCACAGATTAGTGACGGAAGAGAACACGCTGGTCAGACCCTCATCCAGGGACAGATGAGAGTCATTACTGGACAGAATAATAGAGATGACACAGAACGCCTCAAATCCTGGGATTTGATTGGCTTTACCTGGGAAAAATCCTCTGGAAATTGAATACAACTTCCCCCCTGTAAGACTCACTCTGCTTTCATCAGGGAGACCAGACCATCAAATGGAAGTGTGGGAGATTACTAAATGAGAAACAAGCTCCGTCTTTTACCTCCTTCCATGTAAAGAACCAATGAAGTGGCTAACTTGGATGAATGTCAAATCTTACAGCCCTCAATTACTGCAGCCTCTATAAAAACAAATGAGTCATTTGAGGTTAGAGAAGATAGCTTCTTATAATTATGATTACAAGATTGTAATTGTTAGAGCTTAACAAAAAATTTAATGCAGCATGTCTTCTGTAAAGACCAAGCCAGAACTATTAATAGAAAAGCCTGGAGCCATTGAAACATAAAATCTGGTAAATGGTGACGGAAGGAGACTTGACTTGGGGTAGTGAACACACAATGCAATACACAGATGATGTGTGATAGAACTGTGCACCTGAAACCTACATAATTTTATTAACCAGTATCACCCCAATAAATTCAATTTTGAAAAAAAGGAGCGCCTTTTTGACTCATGCACTTAGCAGATAATCACAATTCAAACTGCAAACACACCTTTGAGCCCTGTCCTCTCCTGGATTCCATTAACCCTTTTTATTTTATTAAATAACATAAAACTGCTCTTCTCCTTTCTGGAATATGTCTCCTTGGAAGCAGCTGAACAAACATCTGGGACATCCAGGACCAAACCCAAGTTACCTTCTTTTAAAGTCCATTTGATCGAGCCTGTCCTCTTGCTGACAGCATGCAAACTCCCGTCCAGGGTCGACACAAACAACAAGGTCTCGGGAAGCGTCACTGTGCTGGGACTTCCAAAACTCTGCAGTGAGACGGGGAAGAACCTTTATGGTCAATGTGATTCTCCACCCTGGGCATGTACCACCACAGACTTCCCCCCTCACCCCTGGAAAGTTCCTAAAATCCACCACCTTAGAGATGAAGAAACTGAGGCTGGACAGCCAAAGTTCCCCTCAAGGGCACTTGTTTAGAAAACCACTGAGTCAGCCCTGGCTGGTGTAGCTCAGTGGATTGAGTGCGGGCCTGGATTGAAAGCAAAGGATTGCGGTTCAATTCCCAGTCAGGGCACATGCCTGGGTTGCAGGCCAGTTCCCAGCAGGGGATGCACGAGAAGCAACCATTCATTGATATTTCTCTCTCTCTCTCCTTGCCTTTCCCTCTGAAGATAAATAAATAAAATATTTTTTTAAAAGAAAGAAAACCACTGAGTCATACTAGAACCCAGGTTGCCTTATTCTAAGTGGCCATCCTCCCTGCAGACAGACAGGCTTACGACCCAACATGACAAGGACAGGGATTTTGAAATAATCCACTGAAACAGGTGGAAAGAACGCTCAGCTAATTGACTTCCTCCTCTTAGTTACATTTCACTTTCTAAAACCGGGCCGTCTTGCAAGACTCCATGGTAAGGACGAACGCCAACACACCCGCACACACTTGCAAAATTTTAAAGGGCAAAGAATTAGAGGGAAATGTTTAAAGCAAAACAGAAAAAACAGCTCTCATTCTATAGTGAGTTTATATATAAATAAAAGACCAAGATTTCAAAAGAGACATGTTATAAAAGAAAATGTATAAATTACATCCAAATTATCCCTCACTTATACTCGTAATACAATTTAAATCAAAATGTATTTTTATGTACAATATATTTTTTAAAAATTGTTCAAGAAAATAGCTAAAGGTAGTGAAATTCACTTTCTTACCCATTGCGGGTGGCAATGAAAGTTGTAAGTTAGTGTAGTCTTTCTGGAAAGAATAAAAATGCTTATATTTTTGGTCCTATAGTTCCACTTCTATATCCTAAAGGAATTATTTCAGATATTGAAAAAGTTCTGTGTATAATGATACTCATTACATCCACTTATTAAAAAAAAAAACAAAACAAAACTAGAAAGACCCAATTTCCAATAATATCTAAATGGCTGAAATAAATTATAACACATACACTCAATGGAACATTATGTAATCATTAAAATGGCACGTGGAAAAATCTACAATATAGAAAAATGCTTATGTACATTATCACATCAAAAATATAGGATCCAAAATTTAATGTACCCTTGTTACAATCACACTGGACAAATTTTTTTATTTTGGGCCTGCCTGTCCTCCAGCTTCACAGGCATCAACTGTGCCCTCCTCCGCAGAGTCCCTGGGAGCAGCTGTGTGTGCGCCCACGTGTATGTGTGCACACGTGCATGTATGTACACTACACACATGAGCAGGTGATAGCTGTAAGGTCTCCCAGGAACACGCTTTTGAGGTGTGCACCCATTCAGCAATGCCACCTTGTAATGAGATTGTCTCCTTCTTTGTCACCACACTGCCCCATAAGTTAACCAGTTCCTGTGGGCGTTGAATTAAAAACTGGCCAACTTGCTAATAGCGAGACAGTTTGAACGTTGGCAGAAACGCCATTGAAAAAGTATAGCTGGCTTTTAGCACTCAATCTAAAAGATTGGGGGGGTTACTTGTGCGTGGGAGTTGACTCCAAAATACCTGGTCATTGTTGGTAAGGGCCAGGATGATGCCCAGTTAATCCCTTAAAAGGGAAAGCCCAAGGGCTCTCTCCAGGACAGTCTGAGGCGGCAGGACAAACACTCCGGTCCCTGCACTCCTTTTCTACAGCGGAAAAGTGGCAGAGGGGGTGACGATGCAGCTGCCAGAACCTGGTTCATCCCATCTTCTCGTGCGCCTGGCCTGTAGGCAGAGAAGATCCCCCCTTTACCTTGTCTAGAGCCAGGGCCCATTCACCTAGAGTGGGAGAAACAATAGCAAGCTTTATCACTGCCTGCTGAGTGTATTCTCTGGGTAAAGCCTTAAACCTGAGGAGGAAGAATCGGCTTTTAATTCCGCCTTTGGACCTAGGAAATCAGTTTCAGTTAGACTGGGAAAACAGAGGCCTCAGAGCGGGTGCCTGTCCTGCCCAGGAACCCAGAGATTATGCATAGCAACGGCCTGGGGGTAGTTAAGTTGTTTCAGGCCACAGGGTACAGATGGTGACAAGCCTCACCCGGACCCGCTCACACCTGAACTAGAGGCGTGCGTGCTGCCCACAGCACCTGGCCTGGAGAACACTGGCCCTATGACCAGGCCACTGAGGCTGCAGCCGACACAGACTTAGGGCTGTCTCCCCCTGAGAAGGGGATGAGTTTGCAGCTTGATGAAGGATGTTGGGACTATGTTAGGTAGGGACAGTCTGGGGACAGAATAAATGCAAAGGGAGGATGCATGGCACACCTGAGGGCCAAGAGACGGAAATCCCCGCCGAGCCCCCTCCACCTGTCAAACCACTACCCCAGCAACTGCCATGTTGTACAGTAAGTCTCGGGACCACACAAGAATTGGGATGAACTATCTGAATGGATCACATGGTAAGAAATTAAACTTGGGAGATTGCTGTGAATGTTTTCCTCCATGTGGAAAACAACTGGGCAACAGAGGAAGACAAAGACACAAGTAGAGAAAGAAGCCTGAGAAGAAACACAGCTGAGAAACTGGGAGATTGTGGCCCGGCTTCCACTGGTCCTCATGCCCTGCCAGATCCTGTCCTTGGGCTCAGAGATACCCAGTGCTCACGATAAATTCCCCTCTTCGCTCAGGTTTGTTGGAACTAGGTTTCTGTCACTCACAGCCTGGGCAGTCCTCTCTCTCTCTCTCTCTCTCTCTCTCAGCAAATGTAAATGTATACATATGGGAAAAAAGATGAAAAATATTGTAAGATGATAGCACTAGTTTCTTCTCTATTTTCTAAATTTTCTACGATAGGATCACATAATCCACAATGAGGTTTTCATAAGATAGAAAGGAGATGGACAAGTCAGCAGGTGGGAGAGAAGCTGGCATTTACAGGATCGTCGGCGAGCTCCCAAATCCCAGGAGAAGCGCTTTCCATCTCGGGGTGTTAGGCTCCTCGACCACCTGGGATCCTTAGTACCCACCAAACAAGGAACCGAAGTTTAGAAACACAGAAGTCTCCTGGTAAGACAGTGTGCTTCCCGGAGTAGGAGAGTTTTGCTGTTGTCACTGAAGGCCACAGTACAATGATAATGAACTAAATGCCAAGTACATCTAGCACAGTATTAATATTAAAAAGGGCTCATAGTTAATAAAATGTATCAGTACTGCTTCATCTCTGGTGTGGAAACAAAAGCCAGCTGCCTGTCTGGGCACCCTGGAAACCACAGGAAGAGCAATTGTCTATGGTTGGTTGGCGAATTGAAATAAAACACTAATCACCTAACACACTTTTTTAAATGTCTCAAAAATACCACGTTGGGCTAGACATTGAATTCAGCAGCTGAGAGCGCTTGACAGTTAATCACAACATCCACAATGACGTCAGAAACCCTATCGCACCTGACAGGTTTTTCCCTTCTTTGAAGGCTCTCTGCTGTTTCAACTTAGAATGGCCGGGGAGCCACAATGAACAGTGTCATTCTCTCAGGAGGCAAATTAATATTGCAACATTTCTGGCTCTTTACCCCTGGCATATTTTAAAGCATGCAAATGCCTGCCTTCAAATACAGCTGCTAAAACTAAACTAAAGTTTCGATATGCCTTTTGCAGTACTAAGCACAGCCCTTGGCTGAGAGCTATGTGCACCTGAACATCGAAAAACATGCTTCACGGTAATGAACTTGCACATTCCCGTCACTCAGCCACCTCAGTCATCAGTGCTCCCTTTTCTCTGCAACAGACGGAACAGCAACGGGCCCCACAGTTTATGCACACTAGTCTCCAGGGAGCCTGAAAATGGAAAGAAAATGCTGATTCTGCAGACGTACTTCAAATTGACTACCTGGAATCTGACTGATTTTTCAAACTAGTGGGATAAATATTCCTGGCTTCGATGGTGACTTCCAAGAAGTAGTCACAGTTAATACTGTGGGGGGTAAGTAAGAATGGCAGTGGCCGGTAATCTATTCTAGCCTGAAACTAGACACCCATTAGCTAATTGGTTTTCATGGAAGTCTGACATCCATCATCTCACACACAGTGACCCTGAGATAATTCTGGAAACGCCCAGCCTGAGGACCGTGAAGTTGGCAAGTCAAGGGCAGATGATGCCACGGAGGTGGCTGCTGGGCAAACCAGCTTATTTCCCGTGGGTCCCCCCTGCAGGCCTGCTCGGCCAGGACTTCAGCAAGAGCCTCCCTCCCATGAAAATAAATGCCATTCCAGGCTGCATCCTCGTGCTCCTTGGTCTGATTACACGGCAAGGTTTCATGAAGTCCAGCAACTACACCAGTTCATAAAATGCACCACTGCGAAGACCTGGAAACAACTCCCAACTGGTTCACGCAGTTGATTAAAGGCGGGCTGCCGACAGTGTCATTCGCCAACCTCCTAAACTCAGCTAATTGTTAGTTGCTCTTGCATTAACTAACTCAAACCCTCATATTTTAGGTAAGGAAAAAAATCTCTTCTAAAACAAGTTCTGAAATAACTTTGTTTAGAAAATCATCAGTAAAGAGAATGATGGACACAAGAAACAAAGTATGTTTAGGCAGCACAAAACCAAATGAAACAGCCTCTAACAAAACCCCACCCATTTCTAACCAGCACCTGGGGCTGGTCAGGCCAGGAGGTGGCTCACCAGTGGCAGGAGGAAACCACCAGCAAAGCCCCAGGGCTTGGTTTCACTGCCACAGGTGACTGAAGTTGACTGCTCATTTCCACTCACCCTCTGCCCCTCGAGGAAGAACAGCGGGGAGGCACAATGCCAGCTCCCCTTAGATTCGGGACACACGAAAGGCCAGCCTCCTCATCAGGGTTATCAGAAGTGCTGCATTTTCC